TCCCCTCCCCTCTCCTCTCCTCTTTTCTTTTCCAGATTCTCACCCTGTTACCCAGGCTGGAGTGCAGTGGTGCTATCTTGGCTCACTGCTACGTCTCCCTCCTGGGTTCCAGTGATTCTCTTACCTCAGCCTCCCAAGTAGCTAGGATTATAGGTGTGCCCCACTACACCTGGCTAATTTTTGCATTTTTAGTAGAGATGGGGTTTCACCATGTTGTCCAGGCTCATCTCAAACTCCTAAACTCAAGTGATCTGCCTGCCTCGGTCACCCAAAGTGCTGGGATTACAGGTGTGAGCCAATGCATCAGACAGATTTTTCTTTAAAATTAAAACTTGATATTCAATACTCTTTCCTTTTTTGACTCTGACACTTTGAGGCCCACTGTGCCTTGATTTCTTGAATATTGACAACATTCTAGGCACAAAGACCTCTGATTTATGGCAAGTTTCTTGAAACCTTATATGATTTCTTTATAAGGTTCAAGAGGTTACATAACTCTCTGCTTAATCCCCATCCCCAAAAACATTTTAATTTATCTGAAGATGTTAGGTATTTTGGAGCTATTCCTTAAATACATTTAAGATAACCAAAGATTTTTCTTTCAAATGAAAGTAATTCAGATTTTAATACTAGAGATTGGGATTTAGTTTGAGAAAGTAGTAATGGACTTGGGCATAAATCAAAAATTAATATTACATTTTCTGGTGTTTTTTGCATGTTTAAACCTAAATCTGGAATTACTGATTCTGGACTCTCTCCTTTTCAGATTATTCTAAGATCTCTCGTTTAAAAAAAAATAAAAAGTAGTAAATGTACCCAAGCATGGATGATTTCTTTAAATACCGATCTGAAAGAGCGTTAGGCACTTTTTTCCCCCAAAGCCAGTTGCATATGTTTGGCAGTGACCAGCAGCTGAAAGTAACAGAAGGCCTCCCTGCCTATGATAATCAGAGAATGGGTGTATCCGCAGTGAGACCTCAGTCCTAAAAACTCACCTGTAGGGAGGGGATTGGAGGAAGGGGGAGTCTGCTTCCCTCCGCTTTTCTTAATTGGCCAATAACTTTACATGTGAGACAGTTTTGTCGGATGCTGAGGAACAAAAACTGGGAAGCTTATTCTTGACCTGGTCAGGGACAAATTTCAAAGACATATATAATGCCTGCAAGAGGGGAAAATGGACTGATGAGGATGGATGGTGTCTCAGATGGCTTCCAAGAAACTGGGTAGGCTGCTGCTTTTCCCTTGTAGTATAACAATTCTGACTGATGGTGACATTATTGAAAGCTAACCTACAACCCCTGCTTAAAAGATTGAAATGAACCTACAGGGAGAAGCAAAAATCCATGTATCTTCAAATCAAATGTCTAGGTGCATACCAGAAGAATTAGATTCATTTTGGTGATTGCTTTGAAAGATACCAAAGCAAGTTTTATTGAGTTTTAATGTCTCAATTTAATTGCTGTCTTGAGTACTTTATATATTGTTGTCTTACTTTGTTGCTGATCTGCACCACTGATTATGTACTTGATTAATTTTCTGTTTGAAAGCATAAGCTTATCTAGCTCTCTATCCATTTGTTGTGTTTTGGGTAGTGCTGGTTGTTGGTAGTGATGTTTCTGTGAATGTGTGTGTGTATGCAGATAAGACTATAGGGTAGCAGGAGGAAGGGAGAGACTGAGATTGAGATTTGACGTAATAATTGTTAGTACAACACTTAGTGTGTGGTCAAGTAGTAAAATTGATTGTTGTCTGCAAAAACAGTCCAGGCTGGGCGCGGTGGCTCACGCCTGTAATCCCCGCACTTTGGGAGGCCGAGGTAGGTGGATCACTTGAGGTCAGGAGTTTGAGACCAGCCTGGCCAATATGGTGAAACCTCTTCTGTACTAAAAATACAAAAATTAGCCAGGCATAGTGGTGCACACCTGTAATCCCAGCTACTCAGGAGGCTGATGTGGGAGAATTGCTTGAACCTGGGAGGTGGAGATAGTAGTGAGCTGAGATCATGCTGCTGCACTCCAGCCTGACAGAGCAAGACTGCATCTCAAAAAACAAAAACAAACAAAAACAGTCCTTATAGTTTGCTTCTAGAGAGGAAGAGTTTGCACTGAAGATCCCTGTTTTAATTCTAGGTCTGCCTCTGACTAGCAGCATAATCCTGGGAAAGACTTTGATTATCGAGGGACCTCAGTTTTGCCATCTCTAAAATGAGAGGGTTGAACCAGATGATTTCAAAAAAACTTTCTGCCTGTAGGGTTTTGTGACTAATTGTTGAGATCTGTAACAACAGATTTGTAGTCTGTGCTTATTTAGCCTGTGCTTATATGTTCATATGAGAACATGTGAACGAGCAGTGACCCGTTTTAGGTGCAGGGACCAAAGCCCTCGCAAGACAGGGTCATTGCTGTGAGGGCTCCCTAGCTGAGTGCAAAAACAGTAACTGAATGTGACTTTTCAGAATACATGTAGACTGTAACCTCTTTATTTTTTCCTTTGATTTTAGAGTAATAAATATCTATTGTGGAAATAAAGAAAATGTGGAAAATTACAAAGAAGACTATCATAACTCACCCCAATTTCACCAAGAGAAATAACCATCCTAACATTTAGCATATTTCCTCTTGAGTCTTATTTTCTGTGCATATTTTGAATAGCTAGGTACACTTATATTTATAAGAATAAAATGTACTATGCTGTTTTTATTTAATATTATAGCAACATTTTTTTATGTTATTAAATATCTCTTCATAAGCATCATCATTATTATTGGCTCTGAGTAAGCCATCCTAAGATTAACATAATGTTAACCATTATTGAGCATGTAATAGGCCAGATACTGTGCTAGGTGCTGAACATGCTTATTAATTCTCAAATCATCTCTATGGGATGGGTAATGTTGATTATCCCCAGTTTTTTAGATGAAGAAGCTGAAGCACAGACAGGTGAAATAACTTGTGCGTGATTATCAGGTGGCAGAGCTGAAATTTGAACCCACCTGTGCTCTGAATCTCTGCACTTTATTTCACAATTATTCCATTACCTGACACTTTTACTTATTTTTTTCCTATAAATAATAATAAGATATTAAACATCTTGACATAAATTTTTCTACATTTTGCATTAGGTATTTGCGACAGAATTCTAGAGGTGGAGTTAGTA